TCATTTTTCAAATAATCTGTTACCCCATTTATGCAAGAAAAGTAAAAAAACTGTCCATTTTCACAAAACAATTTTTCATTCGAAACCACCTAAAAAGCATTAATTTATGTTTGGAACACCATTTATGGAGTCTCAAATAAATTTCAGGCCCATATCTCCGAAAGGAATTTGGTCATTTTTCATAAAATCTGTCACCCCGGATATGCAAAAAAGATCAAAAAATTGTCCATTTTCACAAAAAAAATTGTTCATTCGAAACCACCTCAAGTGCCTTCACTTACGTTCCCAACACCATTTGTGCAGTCTCCAATAAGATTCAGGCCAATATCTCTCAAAAAGGAACTTGCTCATTTTTCAAATAATCTGTTACCCCATTTATGCAAGAAAAGTAAAAAAATTGTCTATTTTCACAAAACAATTTTTCATTCGAAACCACCTAATAAGCATTTATTTATGTTTCGAACACCTTTTGTAGAGTCTCAAATTAATTTCAGGCCCATATCTCTAAAAAAAGGTCTTGCTCATTTTTCAAAAAATCTGTTACCTCTGATATGCAAGAAAAAAAAATTGTCCAATTTCAAAAAAAAAAATTTTATTCGAAACCACCTCAAATGCCTTAACTTACGTTCCCAACACCATTCTCGGAGTCTCCAATATATTTCAGGTCCATATCTCGCAAAAAGAAACTTGGTCATTTTTCAAAAAATCTTTTACTCTGGATACGCAAAAAAAATAAAAAATTGTCCATTTTCACAAAACAATTTTTCATTCGAAATCACCTAAAAAGCATTAATTCATGTTTCGAACACTGTTGATTGAGTCTCAAATAAATTTCAGGCCCTTATTTGTTGAAAAAGATCTTGGTCATTTTTCATAAAATCTGTTACCCCGGATATGCAAAAAAAATAAAAAAATTGTCTATTTTCACAAAAAAAATTTCCATTCAAAACAACCTCAAATGTTTTAACTTACGTTACCAACACTATTTGTAGAATCTCCAATATATTTCAGGTCCATATCTCCCAAAAAGGAATTTGGTCATTTTTCAAAAAATATTTTACCCCATTTATGCAAGAAAAGTAAAAAAATTGTCTATTTTCACAAAACAATTTTTCATTCGAAACCACCTAAAAAGCATTAATTTATGTTTGGAACACCATTTATGGAGTCTCAAATAAATTTCAGGCCCATATCTCCGAAAAGAATTTGGTCATTTTTCAAAAAATCTATTACCCCGGATATGCAAAAAAGATAACAAAATTGTCCATTTTCACAAAAAAAATTGTTCATTCGAAACCACCTCAATTGCCTTCACTTACGTTCCCAACACCATTTGTGCAGTCTCCAATAAGATTCAGGCCAACATCTCTCAAAAAGGAACTTGCTCATTTTTCAAATAATCTGTTACCCCATTTATGCAACAAAAATAAAAAGATTGTCCATTTTCACCAAAAAAGTTTTCATTCGAAACCACCTAATAAGCATTTATTTATGTTTCGAACACCTTTTGTAGAGTCTCAAATTAATTTCAGGCCCATATCTCTCAAAAAAGGTCTTGCTCATTTTTCAAAAAATCTGTTACCTCTGATATGCAAGAAAAAAAAATTGTCCAATTTCAAAAAAAAAAATTTTATTCAAAACCACCTCAAATGCCTTAACTTACGTTACCAACACTATTTGTAGAATCTCCAATATATTTCAGGTCCATATCTCTCAAAAAGGAACTTGCTCATTTTTCAAATAATCTGTTACCCCATTTATGCAAGAAAAGTAAGAAAATTGTCTATTTTCACAAAACAATTTTTCATTCGAAACCACCTAAAAAGCATTAATTTATGTTTGGAACACCATTTATGGAGTCTCAAATAAATTTCAGGCCCATATCTCCGAAAAGAATTTGGTCATTTTTCAAAAAATCTGTTACCCCGGATATGCAAAAAAGATCAAAAAATTGTCCATTTTCACAAAAAAAATTGTTCATTCGAAACCACCTCAAGTGCCGTCACTTACGTTCCCAACACCATTTGTGCAGTCTCCAATAAGATTCAGGCCCATATCTCTCAAAAAAGGTCTTGCTCATTTTTCAAAAAATCTGTTACCCCGGATATGAAAGAAAAATAAAAAGATTGTCCATTTTCACCAAAAAAGTTTTCATTCGAAACCACCTAATAAGCATTTATTTATGTTTCGAACACCTTTTGTTGAGTCTCAAATTAATTTCAGGCCCATATCTCTCAAAAAAGGTCTTGCTCATTTTTCAAAAAATCTGTTACCTCTGATATGCAAGAAAAAAAAATTGTCCAATTTCAAAAAAAAAAATTTTATTCGAAACCACCTCAAATGCCTTAACTTACGTTCCCAACACCATTTTCGGAGTCTCCAATATATTTCAGGTCCATATCTCTCAAAAGAAACTTGGTCATTTTTCAAAAAATCTTTTACTCTGGATACGCAAAAAAAATAAAAAATTGTCCATTTTCACAAAACAATTTTTCATTCGAAATCACCTAAAAAGCATTAATTCATGTTTCGAACACTGTTTGTGGAGTCTCAAATAAATCTCAGGCCCTTTTTCGTTGAAAAAGATCTTGGTCATTTTTCATAAAATCTGTGACCCCGGATATGCAAAAAACTAAAAAAAATTGGCAATTTTCACTAACAATCTTTTCGTTCGAAACAACCTATCCATGTCTTAATTGACGTTCGCAAAACCATTTGAGCATTATCTTATGTTTGCAACACGTTGTGCGTCAAGGGGCCTCTCGCCTAAATTAGCTTTGCTACCGAGGGAGTTCCTCTGTTAACCCACTTTTTTTATATGTAAATACATCTTGTGGATGTGAAAATGAAAATACAAAGAACCTGTACCTGACCCGGAATCTGAAAAGTTTGCAATCACAAGTAGAAAATACATTAAAGGCAAAAATATTCGGTCTGGCAAAATTTCGGACTAAGATTTGTCCGAAAATTTTTTTGTACAAAATATAGAGTTGTTTGAATTTCGTCACCCCAAAAATTTATGTATAACCTGCGAATGCACAATGTAAAATGAAGGTAATGCAGGTAATGTATGTCGTGTGCTCTTCCTGATATATTGATCTAGAAGGTCTGAGTGAGTGTGAACACTGATTGTTTGTTTCACCAGTCGCAGTATGATCAAATTAAACTTCGCATAATTTAACTAGCAGAAGCGATATGGTTATAAAAGAAAAAAAAGCAAAAAATTTCTCTTCAGATAATCTTTCCCGAAGAATTGCGCATACGAGTTCTAACGGAAAAATCATTACCCGCAAAGTCATATTCCCGGGCAAAAAAGATTCTCTACAGTCTGGTGGGCCTATGATGGCGGGGTTATGAATCGCTGGTCAGTAACCTTAAAATTAATAGAACATCAGTAATGAACAGCTGCCTAATACAAAATTATATTAATCTTATAGTTTTTATTGTTTCTTGAATGCTATACGAGTTTAAAAATTGGACACATAAAATACGAACTTGACACGAGGGGTACCATTTAAGTGACAGCGTTGATAACCAAGAACTCAAATGAAAAACATTTTCCACTAACCTTTATAATGCTTATGGCCATTTTTATATGTTCTTTATCATACATGCTTTAGAATGACTTCGTTCAAACCACGATAAAATCACTTCCATCTTCAACATCACAAAACCAACTCGCCTAACCTCGCATCCCAGACACTGAATGGGGATTCCTAAGAGTAGGCTCCTGCTCAGCAACTAAATTTTTCTGTGAATTTTGGGACGCATTGATTGTGCACGGATAATGGAATACCTCATTTTTGCCGCATTCAAGGGAATTAGGTTTACTACGGTACCCGGCAAAACCTCCAGGGAAGCAGATATTCACAATTTTTATCAGCATGAGTAGATTTTAAAAAATTGCATTTTCAACATAAGGCCCTTAGGAACATTTCTTCATGAACTTGCAAATATGCCTAGAACAAATGTCTGGCTTGAAGCTCATAAAATATTGTGTAACGAATCTACGTTGCTTCTCTGGCTTTTGCATGAATCTGTAATTATGATTTCTCCTGCCCTTTTTAACAATGACTTCCAAGCATTTACATCTTTTAATCAATAATTTTTCGTCATCATCAGCCTTCTTTTCCAACGCTGTATAGGTCAGCTTCTAAAATTTGATTCCTCAATAGACCACCTCAAAGATCGCGTTGCTATGACACAAAGAATACAATGGCTGCCTATATTATCAAGATTTGAAAATAAAGGCGCTGAAACCTGGAACAAAATTTCCATTTCACACAATCCTCTTCGATAACGACTTTTTTTAGACAAATGATCAATGTAATTTTAAACAATGCCTCTAAAAAAAATTGGTTTTGTCTTTCGTATTCTGCATAGAAGATTGTGGCTGCTGTTTTTTCTACAGATCTGGTATTCCTTGAATCAAAATTCACCAACCACTAGAGAACTTCCATTTTATACTTAAATTAACGCTACAAGAAATTAATGCTAAGCGCCAAATATTGAAATACGACTCTGGTATTCTTTAAAAAATTTTTCCCTTACAAATGTGTGGAAATGCATATCGTTTGAATATTGTAAAACAATATCAACAACATCGTCTCATTTATTAGTTTTTGAAGCAACTACACTATTCTTATAATGACTCGCATAATTAGAACACGAAGGTTTGATTTGCCAAGAAAATTTGATCATCTCAAGGACATGGCTAGCCTTAGAAAAAATTAGAGAAGAAAAGCAATATGTGTTTAAATATCTTCTCTCATGCGGTAAAAACAGAACATATTAGCTACTAAACCGTGCCATTACTAAAATGTTACTTTTATTTTCACTCTTATTTGGTAGCCTTTATCTTAAAAAATAGTTTATAGAGATATAAAAAGCATTGAGAGTACTTGAGCTTAGAAAGAAATTACCTGGTTGTTGTATGAGTGTGAAAAATAGAGTGTGAAAAGTACAACATGCAGCAGCAACACAGAAAATGAGAATACGTCATGGGAAGAAATATTTATATATGGTATATATTCACTATCAACTTTTGATAATCTACAAACACAGAATCTAAATTCATTGTCAATAGATTGAATAATTTTAAGCAACTACAATTGAAGCAAGTATATATTTTTGATTAAATTTCTACAAAAAGTATTTTTCAAGGTATTCGAAGATAAATGTCACTTCACTAATGGTAGAGGGAGGCTTTTCAGTCTTAGTATATTATGGGATGCTCACTATGAAGAATTTTATGGAGCTGTGTTTAATATGGCAAATAAGAAAGCAGCACAGCTATATAAGGAATCACAGGACAATGACAAGGAATTGCAAAGAGTACTACTAATGAGAAAGCACCAAAGCAAGTTTTCTTTCAATGCTTACCTCAGAGTACAGTTAAGTAAACATGGTATCTTACGGAACGAAAGAATAGACTTAAAATTGCCGTTTGCATTAACCTTGAATCTAATCACAATCTCCTTGTCTTGCGATCTGGATCCAGCGAGTCATGCTGATCGAGAACTGTTTTTTCGTGAATTTATTCTGCTAAGACAGGAGACACATAACACTGCCAGTGATACCCAATTGTTTTATGATAATCTCATCAAAACTCTCCGACAAATCTGACAAACGTATGGCATGACAAGCCCCCCCTCCCCCACCAGCACCCTTTCTTTTGTCACGATGCAACACACTTGAATTTACTGTAACTGGGTTCAGTTGTTGATTAAGAAGACTACAGTGACAAACCTATTCGCGCACACTTTAGAAAGGTGACCTTGAATAGCAACGTTATAATCTAGTCCTCGAATTCCTTCTCTATGTTTTTAGCTTTGCAGAAGCAAACATAAATAGAAATAGCGGATAGCTTCCTTAAGAGCTCTTGCGCTACCAGCATGCTTAGCGGCAGTTGTCTTGCGCAACCAGCATGCTTAGCGGCAATTGACAACATTTTGTATCTTCATGCAGTTCGACTTTAAGATTACAGTCGCAAACGGTTGCGCAGGAGCCTTTAAACTCACAGCGACCTTGCTCTAACCTGAACACATAACTTTAAGAAACATATAACTTAATCCAAAGATGAAACAATAATAGACTTCTTTATTTACACTTTTATGGCCAAAAAATCTTTGATTTCATAACCATGTAGCTCTGCTTACTGGACATTGAGAATCGTCAATTACTCATATTAATTCCGTATGAAGCAAGTTGCCGACGAAATTAGTTCTAAAAGAGATGAAAAAATCCTTCTGGTGTGACAGGAATGAAAACAGGAGGCTGATGATCATGTTTCTCTCCATCATAGGTGCATGGGTGACATGTTCCCTGCAAAGAAAACGGCTTGATTTACCAATGCAAAATTTGGGCCAAAATATCAGCTATATAAATTGTTCAATGTCTAAACATGCAACAAGTAACCCTGAGTTTTCATATTCGTTGGAAGACGAAGGTTTTAATTTGAACATAGTTAGTAACTGACCTTTTTTGCTCTCGTTGTTCATGAAATTTAATATTCGTTGTGAATATTGGGTCGAGAGAAACGATGTGATGTAAAAAGAGAAACTCGAAGTAGTAAAAGAGGTTTTGCAAAAATCAAAGGTTTCTTTGCTACGATCTAAGCACGTCTTTTTGAATTTTATTCAGCAAGAAACTAGGTTGCGCAAAAAGTTTGCAGCAAAGATTTATTGCGTTTGTTGTTCAATGTTACTGCATTGAGACCGAAACATGGTTCAGGATGATCACCATCATTGCTTTATAATTCTTCGATCATCCTATGGCTCAGTACCTTAAAGAAAGATTCTTATCGAAACAGGTGTGTAGACTGTAGAAGGTCGTGAGAGTCGTAAGAAAGTAGGTTTACGGTTAACATTGTCTTCGAGACTTTCCGAGGCTCTGGCACCAAAAGAATCGCACCACAAAGATTTGCTGCACTTTCATACATATTTGTCATTATGAACTATTTTGACAACACAAAAATACGTACCGTCCAAAACATGCAGTGGCAATGAGAACAAAGCTCTAGAATATCTGCATAGACATCGCGCAATTGGCACTGCCTAAAAATATTATGATAATGCACTGTAAAAGGCAGCATTACTTAGAGAATCCAAATAAAAACACTGTCGTAGAGTGTTTTCATCAGTATATAATTTATTCTTTTATTGAAAATCTTATGCCTGTTTAAATCACGTAGGACACCAATTAAATCTTTTTTCATATTTTAAATATTTTTTTCCGAATAAAAGTACTTCCTCTAAGAATAATGTTGATAGTTTAGACACATATTGTACAAGTACAAGAAAAAGATAGTTTCAAAGCTGTTTAAAGATGGGGGAATTGGCTGGGTTCACACTTTCAAACTGACGTCAGTGTTCAACGACTATAGAGGCAGTGCAGTGATATTAATAATGGACAACCTGAAAACAATGTGATTAATCAAATAAATTTTACATCAATAACATTTTTTTAACAGTCTTTAAACCTGATTATGATGAAGTTAAATTTAACAAGAATCCAGGTTTAAATCTTTGTTTAAGGTTTTAAGATAAAATAGTTTTATTAAATAAGAATCGGTGAGGTTTTTTAATTAAAATTTCAATTAAAGAAATTCTCTTCAATGTAACGAACCTTATTAACATTCTGTATAATCCTTTCCAATTAGGATAGGCTTCCACTTTGACCTTTTGTAACTGAAAGGTAAGATTTTATTCATGGAACATTTTAATGGTATAGCACTCATAAGTTACTGAACAGTCGAATTCATGTCAGATCAGCAGTTTTAAAAATCATTACACATGCAACTTCATGCTACTGCAACCCAAATTGACATATCATCTTTAAAAATTTCGTAGAAAGTTTTCAATGAGAATACCGTCATCTTTTCTATTCCAAACAGAACTATACTAATCCCATCAGATTGAAGCCAACAGTATTTTAAAAGCTGAAAGATTATCTATAACAAGCATTTTGCCATAAACACAATTGGAATGAATTAACTGCCCAGAGCAATCAAATTTTCTAGCTGGTTGAAAGAAGTTTAATGCTGAGACTTTGCTTAGACTTCAATTTAGCATATTAAATGAGCATAAATTTCGCTACAATTTTAAGTGTCCAAGCGCAATGTGTGTTTGTAATACTGGAATTGAGAATAATGAGCACTTCTTCCTGCGCTGCCCTCTGTTTGCTCCTATGCGCAATGATCTCCTTGGCCAGCTTTCATACCTTCCAAAACTGGATTCAAAAGCTTTACTTAAATAGCTTCTTTACCTTTAAGGTAGCCCAAAATTTAATGAAACTGACAATCGAATTATTCTAGAGGCATCCATAGCATATATTAAAGCAACTAACAGACTTAACTAAAGTAGAAACTTGACGATTAGCGACCTTTTATCTTTTATCTTTTTTCGGTTTTGGTCTAAATAATATATTTGTGAATCATGGCATCAGCATCAATAATCCAGTGTAAAGCTTCATTTATCAACTCGCTTATTTTGACCTATTTTGTTTTCTAATACCTGTAATCAACCCATAACCACGAAATGGCCTGCCCTAAACTGGCGTATGCAAGCTCCTGCCATGAAATAGTACCTTGGTTCACAAATTGTTTCTTATAGAAGGTTATTGTAATTAAAGTTATTGTTAAGTGCCGTTCATAGCAAGAACCAGACGATGTAAAGTTTATTTCTGCCGTGGACGGCACAGAATATTGTATTTTGTTGTTGTGTATTTAACAGTGATATAAAAAAAGAAGAAGTTTAAAGTACCTGCTGTTTGGAGAAATGGAACTTGCATAGCCCTTTCCATAAAGAAGACTCGTTGCATATCTTGTTAAATTGCCTGAAATAAGCAGAAACTTCACATTAACGAGATAGATTTTATCCAGGCAAGAAAATAAAATGCACCAGTATTGCATAAATTAGTGTAAAATTGTTTTGTTTCTGTAACGAATATTTCGATCAACGATTTATTACCAACAGAGACCTGAGCAAAATAAATAGAAGAATTTCAATTGCAAAAGAATGAATAAAGAATCTTATGAAAGTAAATATACTTGGCACATTAGATAGACATAAGCGTTGAAAGTATCAACAACAATATTATAGATTCAAGAGGGTTCACGTTATTACATTTATCGCTGTTTCTCTGGTAGATGTTATTGAAAAGATTCTGTACTTCAATTAAAAAATTGGTTTGACAAGAAATGATTTTTGAGTGCTGTTCTAGCGTAAAAGATGAGTATTTACTTCTATACTTTCTAATGACATCCCATTTCAGTATAAACCTTTTAAGATTAACCTTAGAATAAAGGGATTCTGTTTCCTTCGGCTGAAACCCTGGACCAAACAGGAAGGGGAATTAGAGAAAGATCTTTAATAGGGATATACATAATGCGTTATGATTAGCTTAAAAATTTAATAAAGATGTAGTTTAATAAAACATTCAAAGCTGATTTAGCTTAGATTTGCTTACACTAGATAGAACTTATCTTGGCATAAACATTAGAAAAGCTAAATATCATTACACTCATTCTTTTCATAAGAAACAGGGTATAAGAAACGGTAGGCTCAATTATTCGAAAGTTAGAAAACAACCCAAATTGAAAAAATAAAAGTTTTAATTTTCCGAGTTGACACATTCGAAACAGTCTTTACATTAAACATCACTGTATACTGCAACACTACACTTGACATGCAGTTTGCATTTATTCTCAGTAAATTGCACACTCAAGAAGTTTCCATTTGAAAATTTGTTTTGACTTCAACTTGACATTTATGAAGTCCAATGAGCCTAACTGTTTACAGATCTCAACAGAGTTAGTTATTCTAGGAAAACAAAATTTCTTGATCACTTTGTTAGTTTATCTCTGAATCTTAGTGAACTATTTACTTTAGCTTGGGAGCATGTTTAAAAAATTCATTACCTAAGAAATTTAAGAAACACGTAAGAAACTTTTGATAGCAAAATGGCCAGAACTGCCTACCAACACCGGACCTTAGGTTCTTACAAAAAAATACCTATTTTGCAATACCTATTCAAGTAAAAATATTATACAGATATCTCGATGATCTGAGAAACAGGAAACAATAAGACGGATAGAAAATATTCTGGCATAAATATTAAAAAAGCTTAATATCATTAATACCTATTCAAATAAAAATATTACTACCTGTTGACTCGTGCTATTCTACAGATATCTCGATGGTCTGAGAAACAGGAAACAATAACACGGATAAAAAATATTCTAGCATAAATATTAGAAAAGCTTAATATCATTAATACCTATTCAAATAAAAAATATTACTACCTGTTGACTCGTGCTATTCTACAGATATCTCGATGGTCTGAGAAACAGGAAACAATAACACGGATAAAAAATATTCTGGCATAAATATTAAAAAAGCTTAATATCAGTAATACCTATTCAAATAAAAATATTACTACCTGTTGACTCGTGCTATTCTACAGATATCTCGATGGTCTGAGAAACAGGAAACAATAACACGGATAAAAAATATTCTGGCATAAATATTAAAAAAGCTTAATATCATTAATACCTATTCAAATAAAAATATTACTACCTGTTGACTCGTGCTATTCTACAGATATCTCGATGGTCTGAGAAACAGGAAACAATAACACGGATAAAAAATATTCTGGCATAAATATTAAAAAAGCTTAATATCATTAATACCTATTCAAATAAAAAATATTACTACCTGTTGACTCGTGCTATTCTACAGATATCTCGATGGTCTGAGAAACAGGAAACAATAACACGGATAAAAAATATTCTGGCATAAATATTAAAAAAGCTTAATATCATTAATACCTATTCAAATAAAAAATATTACTACCTGTTGACTCGTGCTATTCTACAGATATCTCGATGGTCTGAGAAACAGGAAACAATATGACGGATACACTCTTCGGGTAACTCTGTTATGTTCATCGATGTTATTGTGATTCCTTTCCTAAGCTAAAAAGTGAATGGAGATGATATTATATTGCAAACTAACATTTGATATCAAACAAAAATATGTCAAGTAATATGGCAAGAAAATCTAAACCAAAATAGTTTTGATTTCCTTATGTTAACCAATACTACAACTTCATATTATAAATTCTTTAGGACGAAGGACTGTTCAAGCACTGGCCTTCATCATATTGAAGTTGTAATTTGCAAAATAATTTATTCAATGATTACATGCAACAAAAAGACCTAAAAACTGGTATGAGAAGTGAAAATTTCTAAACTTTTTATCTCACCCACTAGCTATAGTTCACTGCAGATGGCATTTGAAAATTTCTATCACCAGCCCGACATAGCTATTTAAAAAAAGACAAAAATTGCAAATAACTACACCTTTTTGACCCGAAATCGTTTTAACTTTCCCAAGAGATCCACGAGTTCATATAGCTTTCGATCGAAGGCCATTCTCCTCCCGGCGTACTTATCTTTTGCTGAATGGGAAAAATAAAAATAACCTCTATTACAAAAACTTCATAATCTATCATTACTTTCATATACTGGGTGATAAAGATACAAAATAGATGGATGTGAATAAAATGAGAACAGATGAAATTCTGGGGTGCAACAGACCAACTGTTTAAGGGCACTGCTAGCAAGGAGAAAAAGCTCTATCAAGACTCTGGACAGACTTATTATTTTATCTTATCAATTTGTTTCTGACCAACTGAATTAATAACTTTAGAGGGGATGGATTGTGATAACCTTCCGCGTACGATAATTGCAACCCTTGCTATATCACTAAATTATTTACCAGTTGCCCAATGGTTTTCAAGAATGGTTTTAATAGGAACAACTGAATCTCACATCGTTCAGTACTCTATCACAACGATGTTAAACTATGAAAAGGAATAAAAGGTAATAAAACTTTCTTCGATCTTCATTAAAAGGATTCCTATATATATTATCGTGGAAGTTTTTTTGACACTAAATGCTAACAACTTTATTTGAATTTTAGCCTTACAACTCACTTTGAAAGTTAGCATACTTGGCAGGCTATTCCTGCGAATAATGTTTTTTGCATCAACATAATTCGTAAACAGAATATTTTGCAAAGAAAGAGCTGAAAACAAACCAGCCAGGTGTTTTTCTCTTTGTAAGTTGACAATCTTTTTTGCAACATGCACATTGCACTCGGTATCCAGAACTGTAAACAAGAAAAAGTTGAATATCTTCACTGGTAGTTGTCAAGGAGCCTGATGCAGCAAGCGTGAAAATTGGAATTGCAACAAAAACGGTCCTTGGACAGCATCACAGACCGGTTAAGAATTTATTCTCAAAGAATTCATAGCAGTTGTAATCTCATATGAACAATTGACTCTACACGATTTTTCATAACAACACACGTTTTCTTACTTTTTTTTATCATTTAATCATAGTAAGTTTCTTTACTTGTTTTTAGATGCTATTTTGCTTCTCGATTTCTTTTGATCTGCTCCTATTCTTTTATTTTTCAATTTTTGCTAGCATATTATTTCTTGTTTTTTTATCGAATCTCAGCCTGCTTTGCTTCTTATGTGTCCTTATTTTCAACCTTAAAAGGAAGTCGTCAACCACCCAGCGTGTCTTTTGAAATACTAGTTGCTCTGCTGATGAACAAAACCAAAGCACAACAATTTCGCACACAATCAGCCGAGTCAAATAAGCTCTTCTTTGAAACAAAACATAGTACCTACCATGGTTAACAATCTCAGCTATAAAAGCCGGTTTAAAACGAAACATAGTACCTACCGTGGTTAACAATCTCAGCTACAGTAGCCTGGACCTGTTTCTGGGCCGTTCCATACTCTGGCGAAAGGTGCTGATTTTGAATCAAAAGTTCTAATAGCTAGAAAACAAATAAAATCAGAAGTTTATCAAAAGTATTCAAATCAAGACCGTATAAAGAAAGGTGAGAGGGTATGAAGAGACAGTTCTCCGCTATAATTGGTATCAAGAGCCACAATTTGTTTCGAAATGTTGCAGGGCTTTGGGGATTATGGGGAGGGGGTGCAAGCCCGTTAGTTCAATATCGGCTCTTGATTGGTATATAACGTTTAAAGGATGTCTTTGATTGATTTTTACACAGAGGGAAAGTGAATATTCAAAGACCTGCAGAAGTGTAGGCCATTAAACACGATGTGATCATATGTATCTATGGTCATTATAAGATAATCGTTCATCGCTAGCTGAATTTGCTTTTGACTTTACAGAAATCAGAAGAAGTACGGTACAACGGAGATCCGGAAGAACGAAAAAAGGGAGAGATGAGTCAATTAGGTTCAAAATATGATGTTCAAATCTACAATAATGACAATTCCTAAATATTTTGCAAAAAATCTTCATTGGATTCTCAAAGCATTCTCAGAAATGAACGCAATCGCAACAATTTGCGCAGGCTAACAGGGACAACGAAGTATTCTTTATGAATATCTTCATGCTTAGATTTTATGTTTTGCACCTCTCTCAGCGAAAGAGAAAGGCATTTCATTGCCTCTAGTCTGAGACAAAATGATTAGCCATTAAAAATTTAACATTTCCCTTCTTTAGACAAAACTTTTACAGCCCTGGATGACTGTGGCGAAAATGACTTTTCATCCTTCCTTCAATGTAATACTTATAATATTTACGAATATTGAGATGGAAGGCCAAGGCAAGACATGAGACTTCATACAGCAAGCCAAACTCATCTATATTCACACCCGTGTTTACATGGTGTCGTCACGCGTTACCCAGGGGGCCTGGAGCCTACTCTACTACAATACTGAATATAAGAAAGCTCACCTTGCAAACGTATCTAAACTTGCGTTGGTCTCGTACGGCTCTGCTGAATTCCAAGGCTTGAAATGCTTCTTCAACAGTACTGTAATTGCCATTCTGTGGTAAGATATAGATTTAATATGATATTAAACTTCCTCAACAGACCTGCTTTTAAGACTGTGACTCTAATTTGGGCTTGGACAAAAGCGGGCTTTATTATATAATATCATTCTGTTGTAAAGTGCTTATTTCTTACTTTCCTTTTCACTCTTTAGCACGGAGAAAAATGACCGTATTAGATTTTCATAATAGCGCTTGATAAAAGCTTTTAACACAAACTTTTCTTGTGAGAGTTTGCAAACCTTTAGACAACTCCTAATCGTCTTCCTTACGCTTTGAGACAAAATGGTGCTTCTTTACAAAAATGTGATGACCTTATGGATTAATTTCAATTTATGATTGCTTGCTAATTACTGATAGTTGTTTGATGCATGTTGTTGTCTTACGAGTAATTCCTGCTTTGCGACAAAGTGTACTTGACTAATTTTTATGTTTATGTTTAAGCTACATCATTTAGTTGCAAGATATTAAAGAACATATTCATACGCTTCTAAAATATCGGAGTTCGCACCATCCCCGTTTGAACTGAAGACGATGTCATTTTTTTCTAACTGGTACCCACCACCCGTTTACCAAACTCTTCAGCTCTTCAACGAGCTGTTGATCGAAAATGGCCAATCAGAAACGCGATCACATGACTGTTGAGGTTGCCCCATCAGTGCCACTTGCCTATTAAGAAAGTTACCAATGGAGTCCTAAGGTGAAAATGAACTCCTTTCTGTCGGCAGATTTCTTAAGGTAGAGTTTTCGATCTTTGTTCTGAAGTTTTATACTCTGATGAATGTCAAACGAAAGGCTTTAGTATGCTCGGATGTTTGCTTTTTTTAAAGCAAATTTAAAAACCAGATCATTACATCTTTCTTTTCCATTTTTGCCCATCGTCGGAAACTTTTTCATTCGCTATATGCAGACGATACTGTTCATGGATTCATAATTAATATTGCTATTTCTTTCTAACATCCTTCTTTAAAAGCCGAAAAGGATTTACTTTTGAACCATAATCTTATTTCTATACTTTCCTTTCTCTTCGTTTCTCGCATAGATTATTTTATTATTCATATTTTCTTCTTCCATTTCGACATAAACAATGTAAAATCTTAGGAATCTAACAAAAACAAACTTTATAAAATATCATAAGGTCTCTTAAAAAACAAGCTGGTGAGCACTTGGGGCAATTCTAAGCTTACATTTACATAGAAAGAACACCTAAATGTTTAGTTGAATACTGACCGGTCTTGAGGTTCGCTTTGAAACAAAGTAAAACGACGGGCCACGTTTTGGGCAGCCAGGCAATATGATGTATGGAGCTTTTGTCTGCCACAGGAAACCTATAAAACAACAGTAAAGAGTGAGAAGTCGGAAGCAAATTCAAATGAAACATGTTAACTATCTCACATTTGCATTCATTCACAATCTGATCTTTAATGAGAATACCGAAATCTACAATCACTGCCAAAACTCTTGGAACACTTGTGATATTTTCAACGTTTTCATGCATCTATTCCCCTCCCCCCTTCAAACAATGTTGCCTCACAGCAAAGTTAAAACATACTTTTGGGGCAAACCTTTTTCTACCGATCTCTGTGATAAACTGCATTGTAAGCTACTTTGTTTCAGGGGGGAGAGGGGTTGGTCTATTAGAAACACGGGAAATATGCGAAGAAAGCAAAAAATTAGCAAAATATGTAGGTGTTCCAAGGAGTTTTGGCAGAGATTGTAAAGTAACAGGAAGAAAGTTAAAAAAGACAGGGCCCACGTCACGAATTGGAGATTGGGGGGCCAAGGCTAGCAAAAGTAGGGGGCCAAGGCTAGCAAAAGTAGGGGGCCAAGGCTTCTTTCCCCTTTTACTGCAGATTTAAAAACACTTGCTTTGCAGATAACCGTGGCGTGGGCCTTGAAAGGTCAATGCTTGTTGAAGTTGTGAAGTAAAGATCCTCCTTAATGCAATCAAGTTGAATGACACCTTCATGTAGACCATACTAAAGGCCAGTTTACACGATGCGTTTTTCCTTGCGTCTGACTCACGAGGCAAAGTTGCATGAGTTTTTGACTCACACGACAAATAACCTTTCGTTATTAATACATTGAGAAAAGTATAAATTGAGCAACAAAAAGCAAATTAAAAATTTTTTCTGTAATATTATGCGTTAACTTAAAATTTCCGGGTCTGAAACAACAGTCCCTCTTTTCTTTCTCAATGCATTCTTTGCTGCCAGATAGGAGGGATAAAAACAGTTCGCCACTTCATGTTTTTTCTCTTCCATTATTCGGCGAAGGTGAAGGATCCGGTTCGTATAATCCGATTAACCTCGTGTCATACACGTCAAGGAGTTTTTTGACTGCATCAACGAATCACAGGTCGCCTAGGATCAGGGAACGCTCTCCTAGAAATATGACATCAAGCAAAACATGGTAGCTCTCCGGATTGTTCATGTCCGCCCCGTTATTCCTCCTCATAATCAGAAATGAGGCTAGGAGAAATGCATTATTTCGATGAACTTTCCGCTAAAAGCAGGAGTTGAACCGACCAGTTTGGTGCAAAGAAAACCCATGAAGTATTACAGGTTAAAATCATAATTAAGTCACACCGCCGTTGATACTGCAATATTTTATTTGAGGCCAATCAATGGCAGGTGCCACTCTTTTCATTTTTGAAACAGTCAGGAAGAAAGGGTTCGGAACACCTTTAGACTGCTAACAGAGCAGGTTTTCGACAATCTTTCATGCAATTCTGTCTGTATCAGTAAACAAAAAAGGCGATATTAACATAGGTATCACAATCTAACCTTGGTTATCAGTTTTGCAAACTCATCCATTTGGAAGGTTAAAGAAAGCGAATTGTTGGTTTGACAGCTGGGCTTCCGGAATAAAAGTCCATTAATGGGTATTTCGGCCCCTCCTTCAAAAAAGCTACTATTTCAGCGAAATCAACGCCTGCAAGTTTATTGCAGAGAAATGTCCACATGTCTTTGATTCATATTAACAGTTTTTGCACATTCTTGTAAAAATCTTTAAAAAACATTTTCAGCAAATGTACCAGTCCAGCCTCTCCATTATCACAAACTGTCTTTTAAAGAAACAATAATGACAAAAGTCTATGAAAGAGGTAAGGTAGAAGCAGTTTGAGTCTTTGACTGTTGTTATGAATTTCTCAACTTTGTAGGCTTGGTCTAAAGAAGTTGAAAAGCTTCTGAATGTTACCAAATAATGTGTACCCCCTAGAAGCGTCTGTCTTTACTACATATCTTTCGTCCTGACCCGGGGCCTAAACATCCTCTCTGCGGCCCTGACTTCAGGCAAAAGGATGGGCATGTACTTATGATATCCTTAAAAAGATTAGTTTGAACCCATTCCAATTACTATACCTATCATAAAATAATGACAAAATAATTCCAAAACAACTAAATTCTACCCAAATGAGGTTTTCTATCGTTCTGCATCACAAGATTCAACAAGAACTAAGCCAATATTACCTCCACTCTTGGTAGCGACGGCATTGCTTTTCTTTCCATCCCTGCAAAAAAGCATTTAGTAATGGTCAGAAGGAAATTTCGAAATGCACTGTGAATGTAAGCATACTTGGCAACTCGTATATCGAATTCTTCGAGTCATAAAGAACTCAAAGTGAATATGGATTTTCCATCCGCTGTAATTTCCTTCATTTATTTCCAGGATAAATAACATTATTACAATTATAATTCTTTTTGGGTATTACTCTATGGTGACAGTTCAGAGAGAGATGTTTACACTCTTTTCATTTTATAAGAACAATTTTATAATGTCACGAGCCTCAAAACTGGTCAAAAGTTAAGAACAAATTATGAACAAGTTGAGGCTGAGCTTCTGCAAAATGCAATTTTGAACAACGTTTTTTCTCAAAATCGAGGATTTTTAGCGATGTGTGGGTGCATTTTCGGTGGATATTCAAATTTGTCAGCAAATTAAGGCTGTCTCACTCACTTTGTTGGCAAATGAGGCCTGAAGACCTCCTTAGAGCAAAAAAGCTAGCAAAAGCACTGTTTACACCCTCTTAATTTAAGAACAAATTAAGAACAATCCAGCCTCAGATTTCCAAAAAAAATTAAGAACAGTCAGCCTGAACCTAAATTTACTGTTTCTTTTAAAAAGAAAAGAGTGTATTTTTCTTGGTTTTTTGAGCTTTTGAAAACGAGAAAGCAAAAATTTGGCCTCAAGGATATTGAACGGGTATAGAGTACCGAAGTGTGACGTCGCCAAAAATCTATTTTTAGAATTTCAAAAATTTGGCCGCACAATCTGAAAGAACGGCATAAAACATATTTTATTGTGCAAAATTAGTTGGATATGTTCCAAACTGGGCGAGATATGGCCAATGAAAGATTTCAAGTTTGCTAACGGATCACTGTTATTCTGGCATGGTTCATAAAGTTATGAACCAAGACCAAATTACAGAGGTTTGATGAGGCGAGAGCTTGTCCTTATGTGGCCATATCTAAGCCAATTCGTGATGCCTTCAACTAAGTTTGCATACTAAGAGGTATTTCATGATGCTCTTTTAAGTTCCGGGATCAAAATTCAGAAATTCTAAAAATAGGTTTTTATGACGTCATCATTTCGGTACTCTATACGAATTTCTCGCGTGTAGGTGCCCTTTGCCTCTTTAGTGAAAATTCCTCGTTCTTACGAGGCTGGCGATGAAGTATTGTTCATGAATGATCGTCTTCTAAGCGCTACCTGTCACAATTGATCGCTTTCGCGTGACGGAAACTGCGGCAAAACCTCTCACGCAATACACAGAGCGCTGCCTGTGGTAATGTAAACGCCATGTAACGAGCAGAAACAAACAAACAAGCAAAGTATACTGGTATCAAAGAAACCGATATTACACAATCATGAATTTACGTGATAGAGCATAGACAAAGTAAACCAATTTAAAAGAAGTAAAGGGTTTAGAATAAGATGTTTGTATAACTTTGCAACATTTTGGGGGGCGAGCTTGTCCCCCTTCCACAATCCCTTTTTACCATGGCTTTCTCAACACCGTTGCTACGCCAATTTGAGCAGACTGCGGGAGTGGGGGCTACGGGGGCCTTTAGCCCCCCTAATAATTATCAAATTGTACTTAATACCATACGAAAATTTTTTCTAACATGTTTAGGTACTTCTGGTTTTCAGCATGTTTAGACATCCACCCACGTTTTAGCCCCCTTAAAATGTAATATGTTCCACGGTCCTTGCTAGTTAATGCTTACCCTAGCTAAAATCCCGGACAAAAATAGTTCCGGATTTTCAAAGAAAGTTGATATTTTCTCTTTCATTTGAAAAATAACTTTACGCCCTCCCCCAATTCAATGTCGAATGCATTATTTTGAAGGAGAAATGATAGAACTCTAAATCGAACATTGAAATTGAGGAGAAGGGGGATTTGAATTTACTGGGGCAACATAAACTAGAAAATTGCAAAATTTGCATTTTGTCTCAACATTTTTATCCAGTATTGTATTTCGTCACCAGACTCGAATAAAACTAATGACGTCATTTCAATATATAGTTATGTACGAAGAATGCGTATATTATTTATGATAGTGCAACCTGAATGATTTTCATAAAATATTAAAGCTTTGTTTCTAGGTTGAATCAAAATGGCCCTACAAGGATCTTAAGCGCAGTTCTGTCTTCTATTACGTCATTACACTTGAGTCATAATCTCATACAAATCCTTATCTGTCCTTATTTGTAAATGCGGCTCACAGGGGCTAAGAATGGCTTAGAGGAAGCACTGCGCATACAAAACAATGCGACTTATCTCCGGGTTGTATATTTTTAAACATCACGTAACCTTTGTTGTTGAATAAAAATTATCTTGCCTCGTGCGTAACGAGTGTCGAAACATTTCATCTGTAATTTCGCGGTAATTTCGACAGTTAATTCGCGGCTAATTTTTCCATTGAAGTGTAATCGATGAAAAAAGTTCTCGTGAGTCTATGAGATGGCAAGAAAAGCGGAAATTTGGAAGAAGAAAGCATTTCCTCGAACAAACTGATTATGTGAAAACTGTGCAGAACAATGAGCAACGTGTTTCGGAAATAAACAGCATGGTTAACGGGTCTTCCCGAAAATATGGCGAAACAAGCCGGGTGCAAAAACCAAAATAGATTTGTTTACATTGTTCCATCGAAATAAACAGAAGTTTCCGCTTCTCCTATCAATATTAGGCTGCATATTATTCAAAAAATATTGTTTTAGGCTGAGTTGCCAGGGCTGTATCACATTCACAATACCAGTAATTTTCTTGAGTGTTTCACATGCGGTTTTATTCGTCTTAAAACAATAGTGGGTATTCAAAGCTGAGCAGAGAAACATTTTTGTTTAGCTTTCTTTGAATAAATCTGAAAGGATTTTTTATATTAAGCAGGAAATTAGAATTTTCAATTCATATTAAACAAAATTTCGGCCTCCATCGCCGAAGTGGATTTCTTCGACTCTTGACTTAATGTGAAATATAAAACTAGTAAATCTGTGCAGAAAAAACCTTCTCAAATTAAAAAGCCACAATCAAAACACTGTAATCCAGCATTGTGGGATTAATGAAGGCCATGCTTAACTCAAGAATGTGTGATCCATATGAGTTTAGAATCATAAACAAACAGCTCGAGAAACGTTCTTTCAAGTAAAATTATTTGTCAAGGAAGCAAAAAGTTCAAGTTTTGCATAATAAAGAACTAAAACAAAATACGAGTTAGCTATAGTTTCCCGAAATCACGTGAATGGTATTTTAACTGTTCCGAAAACAGAAATTGCTCATTGATAAGTTTGAATAGCCCAGTTATAACACCGCTAACTACCCTCCGAGCTCTAAATGAATACTTTGAACCACGACAGTAAAACAGATTAAATGAAAGGAAAACCGAATATGAACATTGAAGAGTAACGTAAACTTTTAACTCACAACGAGCTGTCTTCAATGTTTTGATTTTCCTGATCCATGCTTCTGCTTCGAATTGTTATTGTTCTGCATGTACGCCATCCATCAGAAGTCTTCAGCCAGATCTCGCCCGGTGATCTCCAATCATCTCCTACGTAAGGCATTTTGAATAACCTGCTATTCCTTCGGTGACAGATAGGGTAATTATCTCTAGAAAGGTATTCAAAAACTCATAAAGTAACAACTTTTGACACTGCAACCAGCTCTCAACCTGCCAGAGAAATTTGGTACGCAATCTAGTTTTGTTTTTCGAGAATCACCTGCTTCACTGATCCCTTATTGGGTGAACTGCTCGAATAGGAACAGAGTTGACAGTTGATTGGCTGTTGAAACAATACTGTTAATGGGGATGTCCTCGAAATATGGCGGGAAATAAAAGCGATGTTTACCGTCTGTTTCTCGTATAGCATTACGTCATACCTCGATATATCTCTAAGCACAGCATGGGCGGCGCCAGAGGAGGGCTGGGAGGGCTTGCAAAAAGGTGTTTCATAAAAAATAAAAGACAAAAATAGAAGAAAAGAATAGTGCGATAAATCCTTTAAATGCTCAATTTCTCAAGAAAAACTTGAGGTCTATAGTACCTCATTAAGCAATGAATTCTATTTTAAGACTGGAATTAATCAATCGCAGTAAAAACATGCAATAGTGAAATGTTTCAAACTGTTGCAAAAATGACTACAAGAAATGTTCTGAAATGTATTTTAAGCAATTCTAAAGGGCGTTGTTGCAATAAATTTTCTGCTCGTTTCGCTCGCAGGGAAGCCTTTCTTTCAGATGTACCTATGGCCTCCGACAACCTCCCCCGGCCATTCCAATGTACCGCATAACGAGTGCCTGAATCGTGAAGCATTTTAGTGCATGAATTATCGTGAAGCATTTTAGTGCGATTCCCAAAAGTTGGCTTTTTTGTCCAATAATGCTGTCAACTCAAGCCCTCCTCCCACTTTGAATTTTTTGGCGCCGCCCCTGCACAGTCAATAGAAGAATAAAGGTCTCTGGGCTGAAACTGCAGAAAATTTTTCTGCAGACCAACCACCCTTAATAGTCTTAAAAGTTCTTAATTTTACTATAATATTAAAAGGAGATCAATTTCATGCAAATCTTTCATGAAAATCGAAAAAATGTGTGGCACCATAAATCCTCGAATAAGCAAGCCTCCAGGGGTATTATGTTTCATTATGATAGGTATATAAAATTGGGTGGGAAATGACCAGTGGAAGATTTCAAGTTTGCCAACGGATTGCTGTTATTCAGGCCTGGCTCATAAGGTTATGAACCAAGACCTAATAACAGAGGTTTGATGGGGTAAGAGCCTACGCTTATGTTGCCATATCTTAGACAATTTGTAACACATCAAACTGATTTTGCATATTAAGAAGTATTTCATGATGTTCTTTTAGGATATATGATCAAAATTGGAAATTCCTAAAAATTGATTTTTGCGACTTCACCACTTCGGTACTCTATGCTTTCCGCGAATCGGGGCCTATTCGAGGGAGTGGGCTATTTGTAAAACCCGACAAATCCATTTCTAAATCAGAAAATATAATGTCGTGTAAAGAAAAGTTGGCAGTTATTGATTCTCCGATTGTCGTTTGATATGCCGAAAGAAAGGGTTAAGTTCCCCAATAAAATACTTCGGAGTTACCTTGTTTATATTAATACTCAATGGAATTTTTATAATCAGTTACTCCTTCTCTTTCATAAACATTTTACAAACGGAAGCAAAGTCTTGCTCCGACAAAATTAAAAATTTTCTTCATATTTGTTCTAACCGGGTGGCTAAGAAATTCAATGACTAATTGAAACACTACTAGCTGTTAGCTTGTGTTCCAAATCACTAACTTTCAAGTCAGGGTACAGGAGCATCGGCAAGGGGCTGCACGCAACTTAGCTAATATAAACTTAGTTTTTCTTTAACTTGTACAAAATTTATCAAGATCTGGTCTCTACTCTGACAACTGTTGTCTTGATTTGATGTCAACTTGCTCACATTTGACTTGCATGCAGGTTTTTACAAAACACGAGAAATAAATAACATATCTAATAAATTGATGATACCAGGACTTCAATAGGCTGCACTCTAAAATATTTCAGATGCCTCCTCATGGCTTTAAAATATGGTATGCATTTGGCATCCTTCAGGCACCGCAAAGCAGGGGGGCTGGGGGCCTTTAGGTCCCCCCACGATTTGCAAAATATACCAAATATTAAGTAATAAACTACCAGTAAGGCCTCTTTTTATACGGTTTTAGCCCCCCCCCCCACTTTTTTAGAACCCCCCTTTTCTTAACGCTCCGCGATGCCTGTCCTTTTCGAATATCAGAATATATGAAATACGGAACATTTCCCGGATCAACACCCTGAAATTCTCAGAAAAAACAATGAAAACAAGGCATGATTAGGGGTTTGGTAACTGGAACTATTTGTTGTGAGGATTGTAAGACGTGGGCTGCAATGATGAGCTTGAACTTGGTTTTTATCTCATTTTCATAAACATAACAACTATTTACATTATTAAAGCTGTAACTCAAAACTCTGTTGTAAACTCCATAACTCGCGAACTCGGCTCGACTCAACTCGTGAACTCAACTAGCTCAAAACTGCCACACCTATCTCGCACAAGCACGAAAACGAGGTTGTGACGTACGCATTATAACACTGTTTGCATTTACTGGCCTACTACACTTTTGCTGACCGTGTGGTCGCCATGTTATTTTAGGCCTTGTCGAAAACAAAGACGTTTTTCTTTTTGAGGAATGAAGCACTTTATATACATTTCTTTTAATAATCTAATAGTTTATACTTATTGATAATTTGCTCAGATCTAATTAATTATTTTTACGAAACCCTGGCTGGAGGTCCTAAAGGACTTATTCTTGATCTTATATCTTTTGACTTAAAAGAAGAATCAACGTAATTTGAAATAATCCGGGCGCGAGTTAGTTTCATAGAAATAGGAAGCTTATGGTTATTTAAAACAAAACTTAAAGATGGAGCCGTTCTTGCGTGCTTACATTGTTATGACAAGTCAGCTTCTGAAATTAAAAAAAAGTGCTATGAAAGCTTTAGGTGCTTTTAAAAATCACTTTGCGTTATTTCCGATGAATTGTGTAAAAGGAAAGCGGATGAACCACACTTGAGCCATGGCCTTCTTAAGTGTGACATCATTAAAGTATATTTTTGGAATTTTTGAAATTTCATCACATAGCCCCAAAGAACACCAAAATATGCTTTTAAATTTGCAAAATTATTTAAACATGTCAAAGACATGTCTCCTTATTTAGTCCCAGAAATATACAGTTACGTGAGACAGCCTTTCCGCTAGCCTGGGTTAAAACATACCCGGGTTAAAAGTTATCCGTTTTTAAAGTGAGTCAATGGAAACGGCATTTTTCTTCGACCCGTTTTCAATTCGTTTTTGATCGTTCCCACTAAGCCGGGTTAAAATGTATCCAGGGTGAAAAGTTGTAAGAGAAATTAGTATTTGCCTCAATAATCCTTCAATCTCTATCGTTGTAGGCCAATGGAAGCAACATCGACATCGAGTACTTTGGTTTTTGATTTTTGGCACCATCTCAATTCTTAAACGTTGCTGTTGTTGCAAGTGGATCAGAAGTTATCCGGGTTTCGGCGTTTCCATTAACTTGCGGGTGGGTCAAAAGATACCCGGGTAAAAACTGACCCACTTTGAGACCCGTTTTAAAACCTATCCGTTTTTCAAGTGGGTTAGTGGGAACGCGACGCAGAAACGGATAACTTTTAACCCGGATATGTTTTAACCCAGGGAAAGGCTGCCTAAAATGTTAGGACGATCGCCGCAAAGCAATTGTGGTTAACCCTTTGCTCAAAGAGCAACATAGAGAATCTGTGAAACATAACGAGATTGCTGGTTAAGATTTTCAATTGCAACTTTACCCAATTGTGAAAATAAAGATCTATTTAACAAATTGTAAAAAATAGACTTTGTTAAACAAGTACAATTTGCTTTATCTGATATTTTGTCGGTTGACCTCCAGGAATCTGGCAGCCGCCATTTGCACTGGAACTCACTGAATTAATTTTGCAACGAAATATTTTCGGGTACTGTAGGAAATTTAAAGAAAATTCTAAAAGAGTTTATTTTGGCTTCAGAAGATTTCATTTCTTGGATTTTTTTAATGCAAACTGGTTTTTTCACTTACATCAAGGTTTTGACGGGGTTATTGAAAGACCATGATGTTATTATTTTTTGAAAATGAATGGTCTTCGCAAAGAATCATTACTTGTTTTTTACTTGCTTGGGGACTTTCCACAAAAATTGGACAAAACATTCAGCATTGATTGACTTCGCACACAAAGCCAGCTTGCAGATGCCATTAGGCCCAACCAATAGTCGGCCTGCCCTGGCCTACCATTCTTTTAATTTTAGTCGGCAATGTTAACTTATTGTTCTTGTAATATGCATTGTAGACTTTGTAACCAAACTTTCTTGCAGTTTCAGCAAGCAAAGGACTCGCTAGACCCAAATATTCTATTGCTTCTCGTTCTCTCTCTCGTCGCTTTTATGTTTTCGGCATTGAAACTAGAACATTGATATTTTCCATTTCTCCCTTACATTTTGTTACTTTTCTATCATAGAAGGTAGGAAATAAATTGAATATGTTAGGAATCGCCTTTTTCTCTGACGCCATTTCTAGAATCCCGCCAAAACAGCACGATTTGTTCAATCAATGTTAAAATGCTCAGTACTTTATCCCCGGATTCACAAGGCTGTGGTACCCAGTGTAAAGTGATTTGCTAACGGACTACTGTTGTCTTAGCACTGTTCATAAAGTTATTAACAGAGACAAAATTTCAGAGGTTTAATTGGGAAAGACCTGTGCTCGTGTGGCCATATCTCAGTCGATTCGTAACACATTTAGCTGATTTCATACATTTAAATTTGGCTCATCATGACCCTCCTTCAGGTTATGTAGACGTGAAATTCACAACTTCTGAAACTAGCTTTTGTGACGTCATCACTTAAGTCAGGAAGTGGTTGCTTCTTTTTCCAAGAGCTTTGAGCATTCATATGAATTATTCAGAGCACAGTCTGCGAGATTAAATAAAGGAGAGAGCAACTGGGCGTGTCAAAATAATCCGTTATTCGACTATACAGAAGTGGGAGTGGAAAGAGATCAATTCAAAATAGAGGAACAGTGTGAGCTACATTAAACCCCTGTCTCTAACAAGTAGTGGCTATAAGAGTCAAGGAGGTGCTACTCCACACATTAG